TCGGGCTTCGCCCTCGGGAATTCCGCAAACCTGCCTCGGGTTACGGGGCCATTTAATCACTAATCTCCCTCAAGCCATGCTATTACTTATAATAATAGCATAGTTGCCCGGGTTTCTTTTGTTTCAACAGGGACGTTTAATCACGTATCGCCCGCTGTAGCGGGCGATTAGTTCTAATCTCCCGCTAGAGCGGGCGATTAGAACTAATCGCCCGTTACCAAGGGTCACACCTTTGTCTCCCTGACGACTACGCATTAGGCAAGTGCCTCACGCACATAATCCGTGCAAGGAACAGCAACAGTTAGCTCAGAGCCGTCAATAGTCTATCATCCGATCCCTGAGTTGCCGCATCATTTAAATTACGTTCGTGCAGTCTCCAATTTTATACTAATATATTTAGCGTTTTTGTTGTGGTACGTTAAATTATGGATTGCGCATGCGTACCGATTAAAGCGTAAAAAGTGCGCATGTGCAACAAGCTTTTACATCCCACAAGCAATGAAGCAAATGTTTTAGCTTAAATACGCTGATTCCAAGTAGGGCATGTTTGTCCATTTTTAAATGGGAGCGAAACTATGCTATTACAAACTAATAGCATGGTTTTTCGGGAGATTAGTGATTAAATGACCCCTTACCCTCGGCAGGTTTGCGGAATTCCCTCGGGCTTCGCCCTCGGGAATTCCGCAAACCTGCCTCGGGTTACGGGGCCATTTAATCACTAATCTCCCTCAAGCCATGCTATTACTTATAATAAACCTGTGGCGCGCCTCGCGCATGCAGGGCTCTCAGTTTTAAGGAAATTTCCTTAAATTGAGGAAATTTGACCTTTTTGTCATTTTTTAAGGAGACGAAATAGAAGAATTAAGGAATTTCTAATTATCTAATTTTTAAAAATATTGAAATTATATTTAAAATTTCAGTCAATTTAGCAGTATTTATTCAAAAATACTTTTTAAAAACGCTGGAAATGCAGTCTTAAGCATTCAGTATTGCAAATTTTTTTCGAAGAAAGATATTCCTTAACAATGTGATATTCGTTAACCCAAAAATATGAAATTTAAGGAAATTTTACTAAATCTGAGGAATTTTTTACCGAGAATCTAAGGAATTCCACGCAATCGGAAATGAGAGCACTGCTTGTGGGCATGCATGTCGAAGCTTCGTAGTCAAAATTTGTATTTATAATAGCTAAAATTTAAATTTATAATGAAGAGATCAATGAAATCCGGTCATCAAAAGCGAACCGAAAGCAAGAGAAAGGCGCTACAACAGTCAGCAAATGCTCCAGGGCAACGATCTTTGTTTGAAATGTTCAGATCAACAACAACAAATAGCAGTACTACAACTAATACCGAAAGGGAATGCATCGGTACAGCTGAGGAAAGATCAAATGAAATCATTGATTTTTCAGGTGAGAAATCACAACATGTTGAACTTCCTGATCCTGTACCTGTTATGGTCGTTGTTGAAAGCGATACTAGGGAACTTTAGATTTGACTACGAGTACGACTACGAGTACGAGATTCGTCAAGCTAAACGCATGCTGTATGCTTACGCCATCCCGTGCTGACGCTAAAAAGTCGTAGCCGTCGCCCATCTGAGTACGAAATTGTGGAGAAACCTCGTAGTCCTCACGACGACTTTTCAAAAAAAAAACAAAGAAAGTTGACTTTTTTTTGTTTTCCAAAAATAATTTGTAGCATTTATATAGCGTTTATCCGGCGCAAATAATATATTAGTGCTAAATATCTGGCCTGTTTTTAATGTTATGACTTATTTACACGTTTTGTAGGGGATTTTAGTCGGCAGGAGATTTACTTTATGAAACTTTTTCTCTAGTTGTTGGTTTACTGTTATAAAAGCAACATTTGAATGGAAACGAAAACGACTACGGTAATTTCCTGGCACGCGATCAAATCTCGTACTCGTAGTCGTACTCGTAGTCAAATCTAAAGCTCCCTACTGAAGCAAAGAAAACTACGAACACTTGTGGAAATATTGCAACTGTATCAACGTCAAAGTCTGACTCTAAAATTTCCAACGACTGGTATAGGGGGATGAAGCTAGATGTCGATTGGTTGTTAGATGCTGCGAAGTGCCTAGTGTTGAAGAAAGAAATAAAAGATAAAAGAAAGAGACCAACTGTTACATGCTTATTATGTAACAAGTACGAATTTCAGGTACGAAAGATGACCTCAAATTGTCAGTTACCAATAGCAAACGGTGTACGTGTTGATGGAAAGGACAGACTTAAACATGTTGTTGATCACTTACTTTCTCCAGCACATGAGGAAGCCGAACGATTGAATGATTGCGACAAAACTTGGTGTGATAAGTCCGATAAGCATCCTTGGGTAAGAGTTTTTAAAAAGTGGAATGACGAGAAATTACAGGGCCTGGTTCGTATTGCAATCGATGCCTACAATGACTCGCAGGTTGAAACCTTAAGTGCTCAAAGCTGGCCCTCAAGATCCCTTGCAGTAGAGCACAGTAATCATGTGTTGCACCACTTTGAGTCACAGGGATGGAATGCTGACTTTGTACCTTTTGATCCACCAGCATCCTGTTATCACTATAGAGATCCAATGCTTTATGCTGAAATAAGAAACATTATTGCAAAACAAGAAATGAAAAAAGTTGCACAATTGTTAAAAGACTGCTTGTGTTACTCGGTGCAAATTGATGGAAGTGCTGACAAGCAGCAAGTTGATTCCAAGTTTATAACTGCTCGGTATGTGCCATGTGATGAAGTCAGTGTTAAAACAGTGTTTCTTGGTATTGCAAGTAGTGATTTAGGAGGAGCTGAGGGGCTGTTAGATTCTTTCACAACATGTATTGAAAACATTGGCATAAACACTGATAAATTGGTTGGTGTTACCACTGATGGAGAAAATGCAAATACTGAAAAAAATGCTGGTTTATGGAAGCTTCTGCAAGACTATATCGGAAGAGATATTCTGACAATATGGTGTGTCTGCCATCGATCTGATTTGGCACTTGAATCGGTTCAGGCTGAGGTTCCTGAGCTCACGATATGGATGTCCAATGTTCTTGCTGTTGCAACATTCTTTCGAACATCTCCTCGCAGGACAAA